GTCGAGTAGCCCTCATCTTGCCCTCATCCCAGAATCGAGGCAACTTTGCATTATCACATATAGTTCGAGGTAACTTCGCAAAAGGCTGGGGGAGCCGAACAATCCACTAGACAGCCTTCACAAAAGGGTGAAGGCATCGAACAGTGATGAAATCATGAAACCAAGATGAAACAACGAACCGACGTCGGGATATGTCAACTCTGCCAGACCGAACTACACTCCGTTATTTATAAATTTCTCCTGCATGCGTGAATACGTTGCTGAGAAATCGAGTACTCTACCAACTACCACGGCACTAGGTTCAACCAACATACTCCCTTTCTACTCTCAATCACCCTTCCGTTGCGGGTTAACGATCGAGCGCCCATCTCTCAGAGCTTAGGAAATCAACATATAAATTCCAACCAACGACGATGGAGAGGCCTCTTTAACAATACGGCGACTCGTTGAGAAGCTTGGGGGAAACCTCCTATCTTGATCTTGGGCAAAGGGGGAAAGGGGGGGACACAAGCGGGGTTCCAGATGTGTTCCAAACTTAGACCATGATATCCACTCGCAGGCGTTGGGAACCTCACCACCTTGAAATGAAGCCGTGCGTCCGTGGGGTCTGAGGGGGCTTCCCAACGTTCGACGATAGTCGCAAGGAGGTAAGAAGGGTGAAGGATTTCTTGGCTTCCGAACCTGAGGGAGGGGACGGAAAACTGGGAGGCGTAGACGAGCTGCCTATGCAGAGAAGGGTGGAACTTGAGGGAGTTACAAGGGTCGACTTTCATTGACTGTTGGCTTACATGCGTAAACGATCATCACCTACCGGCACCAGAGAAAAGGATGTAAACTCACTTGAGATTCTCTGTCAGGCAAATCAAGGGGCCCCAAACTGACCTTGCACCATGCCACCCAACGAAAGCACAGAAAATGTGAGGAGTCAACACAGAAAATATATCGGCACTGGAACGCAACGCACGCGCAGCGGGAAAAGAGTTTGCAGAGATAACAAGAGGTGTTTAGACAAGGGCGAACTCGGTGCCTTCTGACCTGGCCACTAACTTCGGGCGATGGCAACACTGGAAGGGGCAGGGAGGGCTGTTAAGACAAAGAAGGGAGACAGTTGTCTGATGATGTTACCCAGCAAAATCTGCCATAAAGGCTACCCAAAAGATTGTCAACCGGGGATGCTATGTCTAGTAAGCACACCCTGCACCTTTATTTCCAGGAAATTCTTCGCTGCTTGACGAACTTGGATGGGGAAAATGCGGAGTAGTACAGCTGTAAAGCACCGCCCATCACAATATAAATGGGCACCTTCAACGCCAGAAAATTTCGTTCTTTGATCGTGAGCCCTGTAGGTGCCATAAAGAACCAGCATGCTAGAGAGTCGAGCAATCCACAGAAGAAGGCCGGAGAATCGAATGGATATTGAGTTGGAAAAGCCCACGTGCGGGTGTATACATATGTACAAATAGACCAACTACACTGTGAGTAGAATGATTATCGTGTCAATGTACCAGTGAACCAAGCTGATAGTATGGATCTTCGGCAGATGCACATCCACAACATCAACAATGGCAATAGAACAGTGTCTGACAGGGTCATCCCCCTCATGCCAAACCCAAGCAATCGGTTCACAGGCCGGACAGGAGTCATTGCCAAACTCAAGAGGCATTTTTTTACTAACACAAATGACACATCCAAGAAGAGAAAGTTCTTTCTGTTATATGGAATGGGGGGTATTGGAAAGAGTCAGATTTGCTTAAAGTTTGTTGAGGACATGTCTGACCAGTGAGTATCTATTGAATACCACTTCAATGCCTTTGAATTCAAATTTGATTACTTTCAGCTTTTCTCTTGTTTTTTGGATTGATGCATCTTCAGTCAGCACTATCACTCAGGCACTGAAGGGTATCTGTAACCTTCCTGAGGCTCAGTCTTCTGCTCCAGATGGGTCACCTGAATCTGCTCTTCACTGGATTGGCTTGCTGAAAGAGAACTATGCAATGGTGTTTGACAATGCTGATAATCTATCACCTGCTGAGCTGGAAGCTTATCTTCCACCTGGAAGGGGTGGGAATATTCTGATAACTAGTCGCAATTTTGCCATGAGGAGGCTAACTTCACCTGAGAACTCTCTTGAAGTAACTGAGATGGAAGAGAATGATGCTCTTGAATTACTTTTAAAAGCTAGTTGCTTGGATCCATCTTCAATAGAGTTTCACTCTGAAGCTTTTAAGATTGTGAAAGAGCTCTTCTGTCTTCCTCTTGCAATTGATCAGGCTGGTGCTTACATTGCTTCTGGAGCAACCACTATTGGAGACTATCTTGCAAAATATTCAGGGCACAGAAAGACATTATTATCCCATTCAGAATTTACTGGAGCTTCTAAGTATAACAAAACTGTTTATGAAACTTGGGAGTTATCCTACAAAGAAATTCAGAGGAGGGCTAAATCTGATGATTCTCATAAGGCCAAAGCAGCCAATAGTGCAATACTCCTTCTGGAATTATTTCCTTTCTTCCATCATGAGGGGATTACTGAAGAGATCTTTTTTTATGCTGCCCTTCAAGAAGATGAGGAAATTTCTAACTCAAATTTACCTCTTGCAAGTTCTCTGCTGGACCGGAGACTCCTTTGTCTTAATGAATCAGGTACTTGGGATAACTTTGTCTTTAAAGAGGGAGTTCGAATATTACTGTCATTCTCCTTGATCAAAAAAGGCCCATCTAAGTGTGTGTATGCAATGCATCCACTGGTCTGGTCCATACCTGGGGCAGAGACAGAATGCTGTCAAATGAGAAGAAACAATGTTGCTTAATGGCATATGTGACTTTGTCTTGTTCACTAAGATGGCATAAAGCCCAGCCATATGGATTTCAGAGGGCTTTGGTAACACATATAAGAGCAAACATGGAGCATTTCAAATCAGAAAGTAACAAGAATGGTGTCACTTACTTAAATGATGCTTATGCCAAGTGTGGGAGATTGTTGAGGGAACAAGGATATTCAAGAGAAGCAGAAAAGTTGGAGATTAAAGTTCTGGATACAAGAATCAGAATCCTTGGAGTGGAACACCTAGATACAATCACTGCCATGTCAAATCTAGCAGCCACATATGTAAACCTGGGAAAACACACAGAGGCAAAGAAGCTGGGGGTCCAAGTTCTGGATGCAGTGACAAGAATTCTTGGGGTGGAACACCCAGATACATTCACTGCCATGGGAAATCTTGCAGCCACATATCAAAACTTGGGAAAATACACAGAGGCAGAGAACCTGCAGATCCAAGTTCTGGATGCAAACACCAGAATTCTTGGAGTGGAACACCCAGGTACAATCATTGCCATGGGAAATCTTGCAGCCACATATCAGAAGTTGGGAAAATACACAGAGGCAGAGAAGCTGCAGATCCAAGTTCTGGATGCAAGGACCAGAATTTTTGGAGTGGAACACCCAGATACAATGTATGCCATGGGACATCTTGCACACACATATCGAGGTTTGGGAAAACTTGGAGATGCAGAGAAGTTGGAGATCCAAGTTATGGAAACAAGGACTAGAATTTTTGGAGTGGAACACCTGGATACAATCACTGCCATGGCACATCTTGCAGCCACATATCGAAATTTGGAAAAATATGCAGAGGCAGAGGAGCTGGAGATCCAAGTTCTGGATGCAAAGAACAGAATTCTTGGAGTGGAACACCCAGAGACAATCAATGCCATTGAAAATCTAGCATCAACATATTGTAGCCAGGGAAAACACACAGAGGCAGAGAACCTGCAGATCCAAGTTCTGGTTGCAACCACCAGAATTCTTGGAGTAGAACACCCAGATACAGTCCATGCCATGTCACATCTTGCAGCAACATATTATGATCTGGGGAAATATACAGAGGCAGAGAAGCTGCAGATCCAAGTTCTGGATGCAAGCACCAGAATTCTTGGAGTGGAACACCCAGCTACAGTCAATGCCATGGCACATCTTGCAGCCACATATCAAATCCTGGAAAAATACACAGAGGCAAAGAAACTGGATGTCCAAGCTCAGGGATTAGAAAGTAGAATTCTTGGAGCAGAATCTCCCCACAAGATTGCCACTATGCCCAATGTCCAAGAAGCCTACAAGACTCAAGTTCTTGATGTGAGGATTACAGTCCCTGGAGAAGAAACCTCAGACTCAGTACCACTTGTATTGAATCCCACCTTTAGCAGTTCTGCCAGATATAATTATAAACCCTAGGGAAAAAGGTATGCAGTGAGCTTAATTTTTACTTTTTACTAACTCTCATATTTATATGATTAGTGCATTCTCTGACCAATCTTGCCAAGAGAGTGTCAGAATTCAAGTCCAGGATAACACATTCATTTCATAGAAAGAAACATCTCAATGATGGCTTTGCAGACACTAGTAGTAGTACTTAGTTCCTTTTCCACAATATTTCCATCCTTCTGAACTATATTCATTTTCACTGAAATTCTGGCTTGTACTCAGATCTTGATATTATCTTTAGTATGTGACCTCATTGACCAAGTGATGTATGGGTGGGTGTGTAGTCCCATTCAATCCACTGCTGATGTGATATTGACATCATTCCAACTAATCTGAAGCTCTGAATACTTAGTTAGTAACAGCATTCAAACTGTTCCTAATTGAACACTGACCTCATTTTGACTAATGGGAACTCATCCTCCCCTGCTCAGCCTTCAAGTTTCTTGAAATGGTGTCAGCACTGATTCACACAGCTCTGCAGGCAATTGCCTTAGTTTTATGACAAACAGTGGTAGCCACTAGTGATGCAGCATCTGTTCTTTCCTGGGGGGTAGATCCACCATGAAAATCGGTGAGGGCTTTGATACAACTTTTGAAAAGGAAGCAGTGGGCTTTGAATCTGTCAATGTGAGTTACACAACCTATGGCAATCCATAAGAAAATCTCAAAGGGATGCATGATAGAAATGAATAGGTTCTTTGTCATTTACAGGAATGTGAACAATGGAGTGCAAGTCTCAAAAAATCACCATAATATCCTCATGTTCAAGTTGGAAAAGCACCTGGAGGAATCGAAGAGTCACACTTTGGCTGCCATTTAGATAGAAGATAGCCCCAAGTATAGACATAGCCCTCTCCATTTCTTTGCTAGACTTCAAGACATGGCTATAGAGCTCGTCGAGTAGAGCAAAAGGGTTAGTGGCAAAACTAGATGAATCCACTGATCCACAGATATCGAGTATTAGCTGAAGCTGAGCGGTTGGAATGTTACAATCAACATCTATGAACCTGATCACCATCACAGGAAAAATGAATTGGCCTGATGATTTTCAGACAAGAAAAGAAATAACATCTTCTGGGGGCCATGGCTGAGGGAGGGATGACATAGAAGGGAAGCAAGCATGGCGTCGATGGAATATGTCAGCTAAGCTGCTTTGAAGAAATGTGGCAATATCACGATCAGGATGGTAAGAGTTGTCGAGAACCAGGCAGTGAGTGATATCTGAAAGTTTGTTGTTGAAAACTACCACAATGGCTGGCTCTGGCCTGCTTGCAACTAGGGGGTAAAGTGTTGGCAAAAAGGACCTCAGTTGTAAAAGGGCATCACTGAGGACACAAAGGATTTCAGCCTGATGCCCTCCTCCATTACACTCATCAAGTCCATCTATGACAACCAACATTGGCCATGGTGGACCCACAAGACGGTCCATCTGTTCAGAGAGGATGCAGTCGAAGATGGAAGGATCTTGCTCAATTGCTCCCTCAATGAGTGGTTTAGTGGATGGGATTGAAGTTGCAAGTTGAGAAGTGAGTGTGGTGATAAGGTGGGTCTCCCTGTTTCTCTTCAGATCCGTCCAAGAAAAGAAGAAGCTTGCAGCCAATCCCCCAGAAGTATGAAAATTATCTGCTATTTGTTGCAGAATGGCTGATTTACCTGAGCTGGCTGGAGCTCTCAGCCAGAGGATACAAGTTTGCTTGGAGTGATCAGAAATCCAATTGTGGATATTGCTCAATACTGCTTTCCAAGTGTTGGGATGGCATTTGGGGGTGTCATAACATTCATTGAAGTTGTGCATTGTGCCCGCCATGATATTTTTATAAAGTACTTTCAATGCTGGTGCAAGGAAAAAAGTCAGTGACCAAACAGGACAAGATGGATTATGGATATCATACCTTGAATTCCAGCAAGGCTGCTGGTTGGATAACTTGCATGTTGCCCCTCATTTATAAGGAAATTTCTGTAAACAACTGCCAGGACACCTCCTGACACAACAACATTCTTGGAGTGGTCAAGCATGCAGTGACGGCAGTGTTGTCTCTGGACAACCTAGTTGACCTGTTGGCGCCCATGACACAGGGTATACAAACAACACACAAGTAGTTTCAGAGCCACTCAAGAGCCTATGGCAGTTATTCTGCACATTTAATCCCTGCATGCAACTTTCCAAGCACACACACAACTTTCTTCAAGCACACAACTTTTGGATGCTAAATTCAGTTGTTTGGTCTTGTTAGATAGGAACTCAACTAGCATTTCTCATGCAACATCACCCAAGCAATCCTCAACATCGTCCCAAAGTCTCTCATCATCATTAAACATGGCAAGCTCACATATAGTGTACATCTATTTATTGCCTAAATCTTCTTTTTTCTGTTTCAACTTCAAAATAGTATGTAGAGTATCATTGCAGAATTCATTGTATCAAATAATTTGCATTGAAACTAAGGTACAAGCTCATTGTGCTTGACAGTGAGCAGCATATGTCTATCAATGTATGACAGCATAGAAGGTTTGACATTGCATGAGAAGTGATCAGGTGGAATCTCAATATCTTCTTAGGTAAATTCCATCATCAGGATCAGAATAATCGGCTTGATCATTGCCAACTACCAAATCTGGTACTGGTTCTCACTGTATGCCTCCGTCCACCCCTGAGCCACTGTTACTCTCAAGTATTTTGTTATTTATACTGTAATTTAGTGTGTCATGTATGTTATTTGATAGAAAGATAGTATAATAGTATAGCAATGATAATATAAGGTTGTATTTGGAGCACTTTACATGGGGGATGGTGCATGGAGGAGGGTGGAGGAGTTATACTGCTCATCAGTTACATCACCAGTCTCGCCAATAACCTTCATTACTACATATAACAACTGATTCACATGCTACAGGATACCCTTTGGTCAATTTGGAGCAAGCAGATGGCCTGGGGATGACTATGAGAAATAATATGAAGGAGATGAATAGAAATCAGTGAAAAGTGCGAAATTGGCATACTGTGACCTGGTCATTTTAGATAAAAATTATATGAAGTGGTAGAAGATAGGGCTGGGGTAGCTAGAGGGTGGTTCAAAAGGAATTACATGGAAGAGTTGATGCCTTTACATAGTCAGAAGTTGTACTGTGCAGTCAAATTTAGCATCCAAAAGTTGCGCACTTGAAGAAAGTTGTGTGCATGCTCGGAAAGTTGCATGCGGGGATTAAATGTGCAGAATAACTGCCATAAGATCCACCCTTGAGATTCCGCCGAAAACCGGCTAAACGTCACAGGGGGAATGCAACACAATGCAAAGCAAATAAATGATCTTGCTACCAGCTCTCAAACTCCCCCACCAATGTCGCAAGCCCTGCAACTCAAAACTATCTCAGCATCAGTATCACAAACAGAAATACCACCCTGACCATGCAAAGCACACCCAGTGACTCAGAGGGCACGAAGGTGAGTCCAACAATGACAAGTGCCCAACACCAATGGTGACCATGAAAGTGGCCAACAGTGAAGCACATACAGGGTGGATTTCAGGGCGGGATGCTCTCCAGGTGGGCATGATTGGTAATTGTTTAATTAGTTATTCACTTTTAAAAAGGAGCGACATCATGTGATGCCAGAAACAACAAAATTACTACTAGTAAGTCACATTTTCAGGAGGGAAAATGCTCATTGGACTGAACTTATAGTAAATACTCATGTTCTATGATGATAACTAAAGCAAAGCCATATATATTGAGAAATTGTGATACAGATACACCTTTTGTGATGGTGAGTAACTGTTCGGAGCCCTGTCCAGTTTAAAAAGTTCACAAAATTAAAAAAAAACACAAAACATGTATTGTTCAGATCAAAGTCATCAACAGCGAGAGGGGGTACTATGGCTACATTGTGTGAGGTATATATATGTAAGTAACGACGTGAACAGATGAGATACAGTGCCTTGCATAATGCTTTGCAGCATGAATTTCTTAAAATTGTATTTGGCTGTGTTCTTGACACTGGACCTAAAGCCTAATATGTCACACTGAGGCCTATTCCCTCCTATTCCGGACAGGGATCATTTCGTTGGGCCTTGGTAGTTGTTCACTTTCTGCCTCAAACTTTAATCCCAAAAAGGGAAATCACCTTATTTTTAGAAACATGCCAGCCTCAGCAATCCTGTCAAAGTCCTGTGGCTTGGCATTGATTTTATTGGAATACAAGCTATTATGTTTCCTTGCAGTGTGTCTGAAAAAAGAGAAGAGGGACAACATTTTCATGCAGGACTTATATTGCAGCTACTGTAGACATGATGTACAGTAACAGGATGTATCTTTAATAACAATACAAGGGCCATCGACACCACCTTGGAACATTGATCTTGGAAGCTAATGGAGAACACACCTGCAGTTGTGCATTCAACTGCCCTACTAAATCTCACCCTTCACTTCAGTGTTCCAAGAGCCACTTCCCTTCGCTCAACGCTTCTCAGGCTCACCGCTCGCAACCCACCACTAAGGCAAAATGTTGCTTGTGCTCTGTCGTCCTTCCAAATACTTCATTATAAAAGTTGCGCAATGGTAGGGCAGGCTGATGTTCTCATATTGAAGGTGGCGGGTTCTTGTTGGGAGGAGCAAGTATGTCAGTTCGCTGTATAATTGCCTCTGTGCCTGAAAGAATGCTTGTTAGTAACAGTAATGTATATAGGAAAGACAGAAAATACCTTTACGAGGGGAATTGTACATGGATGAGGCTGGCAAACTCCTGTAGTCATCATCGAGTCAGAACCTTGGCAGGCCACAGCTGGGTTTGTTTGGTTTCTTGCTAAAAATAGGCGGCTTCCCGTTTTGGGATTAGAGTTTGAGGCAGAAACTCAAAAGTGGGCCTTGGTTGTGACCACTACAAATATAATCAAATAAGTTTTGAAAAAATTCGTGCTGCAAAGCATTATGCAAGACACTGTAGATGATGATGGTGGGTAACATATATGCTAACAGTCATTGGAGTGGTTTATGAGAGAAGGGAAGAGTCATTAGTGAAACAAAAGAACAAATAGAGGTTAGTTAATTTGCGAATTGGAGTTCAGCAACAAAAACAAGCAAAGAAAACAAGGAAAGAAAAGAAAAGAGGACCGACAATCAAGCCGACCCAGAGAGAAGCATCAAAGGAATAGGTTTCCTCCTCAACCCACTGCTAGCGCAACTCAACGCACTATCATCGCTCCCTGCATCACTAACTGTAGGCGTAACACTCCCCCGTCTCCTCACTCCATGCCCATGCCCGTACCCAATGATCATAACGTCCGATTCACAGCTCGAGTGACGGCCATGCCCATATCCATATCCACGGGGGCTAGAACTCTTCGTCATCGTGGAAGAAGCAGGACTCTTCGGCGTCTGCGGCACCACCTTATTGGAAGAGTTCTTACTCCCCCTCTTCCCAGCACCCCCCCCCCCCCCCCCAAAGTACAACCTCAACTTCGCAGAAGGTCCCCTCCGTTCATGTTCCTCCCGAATCGAACCGATCGTCGAAGAGGACCATTTCGATTTTAACATCGGGCTGGGCGAGGGTGAGGAGGTGGGAGTGTGTTCAAAAGAGGTGGCGATGTCCAAGTCGGCGCTGTTGGGGCTTGAAGGGAGCGAAGGGGGATATTCATCAGCCCCCTCTTCCCCTTCGACGTGCAAATCCATCTCCACATCGAACCGAAAGTCGTCCGATTCAGACGAAAATGAACAGGCACTCCTCAAGTCCATGTCCATCTCTATATCATCCTCGTATAGCGAAAGTGAGAACACCGAACCCTGATCGTCCGTCTCGAAGTAGCCACAATCTGCCGGTATGCTGGAACGTGGCGGTGGTCTGCGAGATGATGATGAGGCGGGGGTGTATGGTGCACGGGAGTGGAACGATTTAGGTGAGGTAGGGAAGGGTGATGAGATATGGTTCATCTTGCTTGAAGAAGATGTAGAAGAAGATGCAGAAGAGGTGCGGATGAGAGTTGGGATGGGTGGTGATGGGTAATTCGGAATGAAGCTTCTCCTACTTTGTCGCTTGGAAGAAAAGGCAGGGGAAACTGGGGAAGTGGTACATGGTGTAAGAAGGAGCGGCTTGGAATAACGAACCGAGTGATGAGGTACGAACATCGATTCGGGGCGTGACGGCTTTTGATGTGTGGTGGGAGAAGAGGGGAGGGTGAGGATTTTAGAGAATTCTTTGTTGTACCACTCTGAATCGGATTCGCCTTCATCGGATTCGTAGAACGACTCTTTGATGGGGAAAGTGGGATGGGCCGTTCCATTGAAATTTTGAATGGTTGCGGAAATGGGGCATTCGCTATCGTTGAATGGAGACGGAGACGGAGACATTGACGGGGAGCCATTGTGCTTGGCGATAACAAGTGGCTTAATGGCTGCTCGGCGGGGATTGAACCGCGGAGACGGGAGCGCGAACTCGTCGTCTGACGTTGACGGTGTAGGTGGCAATGTGCTGAACCGCGAACACGGGCTCGAATCTGAAGACGAGGCGGATGAGGTGGGAGAGGCGCAAGAACAAAGGGAAGAGGGAGTTGGAATGGGTGGGTGCGGGAATTTGTAAGAAACGTCCGTGAACGTGAGTCGGGGGATGGAACATGGCTGGTAGTTGTGGTAGGTGGACGAGGGGCAGGTCGCAGAGAGAAGGCCGTTTTGAGTAGAGATATCGTCGTCGAGTCCCATCCCATCTCTGCCTATATGCGTGCAAGACCACCTCAAACCGTCCACGCATTCTTCCCTCTCCCCATTGCCAAAAACGAACTCAGTCGTCCCACTAGTGCCTACCACTTTTATGATAAAACCTGGGCATTTGCCTGCACAGTCTTTTCAATCCCCCCAAGTGAAATATGAAATGAAATGCCTAGGCTATTTCATTCTTGCTTTGCAGCTATTTCATTCCTACCCACCACATTTTTCATTTCTCCTTGGCAATGAAATGCATTTCATTCTTTTGCCTGTGCTTTTTCATAACTTTTTCATTCTTTGCCAACTTTATTTCTTTTCTTTTCATTCTTTGCCAGTATCATTTCATTCTTTTGCCTGCGCTTTGCCAGTATCATTTCATTCTTTTGCCTGCGCTTTTTCATAATTTTTTTCATTCTTTGTCAGTCTTATTTCATTCATTTGCCTGTGCTTTTTCATAACTTATGTATTTGTTTGGTTATGATGGGATCAAAATATAAGACATGTGATCTTTTAGTTGCCTCAATTTACATGTTTATTGCTCAATTAAATTAGATTATGGCCTCAAATACAAACAAATGTAAAGATCACAAGCCAGGGGTTGATTAGGTCAAACTATAGCTAATAATTTGAGAATACATATGTTTATTATTTACAAACAAATAATGTGTCTAGTTATGAAAAGGCTTAGAGAAGCAATGAAATGAGTTTCATTTTTTTTAAGTGCAACCCTAACCTTAAACATGGCAAACAATGAAATAATAAGTTATGAAAAGGTGCAGGCAATGGAATGAAATAGGACTGGCAAAGAATGAAAAAAAAATTATGAAAAAGCGCAGGCAAAAGAATGAAATGATACTGGCAAAGAATGAAAAGAAAAGAAATAAAGTTGGCAAAGAATGAAAAAGTTATGAAAAAGCACAGGCAAAAGAATGAAATGCATTTCATTGCCAAGGAGAAATGAAAAATGTGGTGGGTAGGAATGAAATAGCTGCAAAGCAAGAATGAAATAGCCTAGGCATTTCATTTCATATTTCACTTGGGGGGATTGAAAAGACTGTGCAGGCAAATGCCCAGGTTTTATCATAAAAGTGGTAGGTACCACTCGTCGTCCTTGTTTCATCGCAGCAATCGCAACGAAAAAGCGCTGTAATGGTTGCTTCAACTGCGTTATGTCGAGTCATTTCGCTGTCCCAGAGGAATTCTAAAAAAACTGAACTGTCAGTTTGAGCAAAGAATCGGAAAGGTGACCAAGCGTACCTTCTCTTTCCTCTGTAAAATCATGCGACTTGGGGGAATATGAGGGGCATGTTGCCTATTGGCTGGGGTTGACTCGGTGATTCCTTTGGTTCTATTACATCTCAGGAGAGAACGTATTACCGCTTGGAATGGGAGCCATTTTGTCGTAAATGTAGCCTTGATGGATGGGCCGAGCAGATAATGAAAAGTAAGATGTAAGTAGACTCTATAACGAGTTCTACGCGTCCCGGAGGGATGAGGAGAGGCGTTGCACGAAAGGTGCGCGTTTGATGTGGTTGTACAGGTTGAAAGGCTGTATTTGTCATCATCTCTTTCTACATACTTAAATCTGCACATTGCCCATTCCGAATATATATTTTCCGTTATCAACCTTTCCTCGCAATGGAAAATAAAAATGTGGGAGGTACCCGCCTCGGAAATTTTTCTCAACTCTACTAGACCGTTTATGTGAAGTTGGCATGTCCGATGGTCCCATTCTTCGAAACATAGTATGTATTTAAGTCTGATCCTCAGCTAATCCTGAAAATCAAGATTTTTCAAGGACATCGTCATGAAAAATGGCCGTTTTTGAGACACCATCTTCTCTGATTATGCCTTGGTACATCCCAGGGCAATTCAATGGCATTGCGACAGAAGTAAAAATGTTCAACGACATTTTACAACACAATCCACAAAAGAAACTCACCATTGCCTCTATTATCAAGCGCGATAACGCCTCCAATCCCGCCGTCTTTGGCAAGGTCCTTCACAGCGCTAGCACAAGCCACCGCAAGCGACTGCTTGAGAAAGCGCACGCGGTGTGCGATGGTTGACGCCGTAGCCTGCCTGATGAAATACTGTTTTCACTATGAGAAGAGAAAAAAGTTCGGGGAATACTTGAACGCCTACATCTCCATCCCCGGTGCCCGATACACCAACAGCGCGCCTACCCTGGTATCCTCTGAACTTATTCCAGCATCGTCGGACCCAGCCCGAGTTGTCGTTCCATTCTTCAGCCCAAAAGCCTGCACCCATCAAGGGTGTATCACCGATACGACCAACCAGTTTGTTGGTGCGCCCGCCGGTAGAGGTTAAAGATGCGATGCATCCCCGGATATCGAGAGCTACAGCACCGACTGTACCAGTTGGTAACTGATCGAGTGGACTCAAAAAAGTTGGTCCTGGCTCTGGTATGTCAGGCGGGAGGTCTTCGGGGAGCCCCAGCCCGCGCCGATGTTGTCTCCATCTATGGTCAGTGTAGAAGTATGAAGGGTCAACGAGAATTTCGCCGAGAGATTCTCCAATTTCCTCAGCGGTTTCTCCAGAAAGGAAGGCATGAGGAGCGAGTGATGGAGATAGGTACAATGCACGGACAAGATGAGATGGGTTCTTAGTGCTGGTCAACAGAGTTAAGCCAAGACCGCGTCGGGATGAGGGTATTTCAGGGTGAGATGCTGGGGGTTTTGAAAGCATGAGGGAGGCTTCTAGTTCGTTCTTCAAGACATGAACACGCTTCGGGTTGGTCACATTGAGGAGGCTTACCTTTCCGGCAACGTTAAAAACGGCGCCTTTACCAGCGTTGAATAATGGGTTGTCTTTCGTTGTGAACGTTAGGTCAGAGGGAGAAAATTAGGCCCATTTCAGAAAGTGGGCAGACCTTCCAGCACTGTCACGGCGGCGACCACGGCGTCCATAGCCTCCCCGTCTTGACTTAGAACATCGTATCACTTTAAATTATCTAAGAAAAGAAGTGACTGAGCTTATAGAGGATACTGACTGCGTGCAAAGCTTTCGCAAGGCCAGCTTTATAGAGCATCTGCTGCTCCTTTGTAGAGCCAGCCTTTGACATTGTCCCAGCTCCTCCATGAATAACCAGAGTATAAGATTTTCTCGATGTTTGAGAGGGAAGTAAGGGTGTTTTGTCGGTTGACATGGACGTATGATGAGTGGGGATGGTCAAGCCAGTTGCGAGTCTGGAACGACCGGACCTTCGACCGTGCCGACTTCCGGGTAGGGGGGAAATAAGAGCAGCAGACTTTCTGCTAGAGTCCAGCTGATTTTGTTAGCACGCTACACTAATGGCGTTCTTTCCTACCTGACATGGCGGTTTTTCGGTTGCAAGGCCACCTGCTGCTCATTGTGGTTTATGGCGGAGCTTGACGGAGTTTTAAAATATGTTCGCCAGATAACACTACGTGGTTTTCATTGGACCTACAACTTGTGATTTTCGAAGCCTCAAGGATGGAATTCACCAGCCTCATCGTAGAGCGGGACGATACAAACAGGAAGATAGAAACGAGGATCAAGAACGGCAAGGTTCAGCTTCACACGTCCAAGCATTCAACAGAATCTTGACTGACGATACGTAGGCAACACGAGGAGAGGTTCTTGACGCACATTCCAATCGGTTGAGGGGCCATAGACGCGTCCTTGATCTCATATCCAAAGTGTTCCTTCCCGCTGGTTACCCCGATTCCGTGTCTCCAGGTAAGCAATAAGCGTCACACAATCTGTTATCTGACGGCCTGTTGCCAGATTACCTTCGGTCTGACTTTCCTTGCAGAGTACGCCGTTTTGCTTATGAAAATTTCGCTCTAGCTATCAAATATTGAATGCCTTACAAGCGTTCTGCAATTCTTTGGTGGGACTTCTATCATCTAGGGCGATCCTTGAAGGTGTTTCTTCAAGCTTAAATTCGCATTTACTAAACTAACTCAGTCCCAACAAGGATTCGGAGTTGGAGATCCATCTGCGACAGCAACGAATGCACTACTTCTCACTGTCCTGCAAGACGTTTTCAGCCGTTTAACAAGTCCGTTTCGCAATGTTATCCTACATCTTCACTAATCCTTGCACACAGCCATTGTCGCGGCCCACATATTGGGTTCTTCACTAGCACCCGATGTGAAGAAATACCGACTCCTTGCTGACATGCTCAACGACGCCGCCGTAATTCTGGACACAATTTCACCTCGTCTCGACACGCTTTTCTTTCCTGGTCTGCGAGTTGCAGCATTATGCCTCAGCGCATTGTTCAGATCTCTTTGCGCCATCTCAGCGGGCGGCTCCAAGGCGTCTATCAGCTTGCATTTCGCTACACCGCTCAAAGGTACGGGCGACGTAGGCGATCTTAATGCAAAGGACGCCAGCAAAGAGACTGTCCTTGCCTTGCTCGGTATGCTGGTACATTTATACATTGACGGAAATTTACTGCCTGTTTTACTTCTCCTTTCATAGCTTGGTACGCTCATTGTGCCCCATTTGACGACGCCATGGACAATTTACACAACTCTCCTTGTTCTTGTCGGACTCCATCTCACCATCAATTATATTGGTGTGCGGGGTCTGGTCCTGCGCACATTGAATGGACAAAGGACTTGGCTTGCTTGGTCTGCCTATATGCGCACACAACCAGGTCGTGCCCCAACACCTGATGAAGTGGCGAGTTTGGAACGTATATTTGAACGTCCAGGTGCATTTAGGGATCCTAGAAGCGGTGTCCTTATGGGCCGCTGTACTATTGGCTCTTCGTTTTCGGAGATACTTAGCGGACCTATACCTCCGCAGCTACTTGAGTTGTTCAAGGAGGAACGATATCTACTGTGGTTCGATCGTCGCTGCCTGCTCCGACCGGAATCCCCTTCCGTTGAAGGCTTCCTTCGCCTACATATTTGCCTCAAAGAGGGGTACAATACTGAGGATCAACTGAAAGCGTGGATTCACGCTGCGGAATTGTGTCGGGCTATTTCTTCGCAAAGGGATGCCTCTGGTGTCCTTGATGCACTGGGGGTTCTTGAGGAGACCCATCAGAAAGTTGTGGAACTGATTCCGGATTTTGTCAACAAAATGCGGGCTCTCGGATGGAATACCCATGATTGTGCTCTTCTGTCGGGATCTCCTGTCGCTGTTATCCTCTCTGTTGAGAATGCAGCCGGTCAAGCGACAGAAGGAAAGAAAACACGATAGCATTGGTTGTAGGTGATCATATTTGCTTTTTCTTGATTGTTGAATCCTCAGTCTTTTTTTTTCGAGCAGGGTGTTGAATTTCTGGCTCTTGGATTTTTAACATTTGCAAACTTGTCCCTCGGTTACTTTGAACCCTCTATTTTCAATGTGCACCTAGCGTCTAATTTAAAATTGGTCATGATCAAGAGAACGATTGGACACTGACAGCTAAATGCAAAACCCTAGACACCTCCCAAAAATTTCTGGTGTCCGCCTCGCTTTGTGCAAACAACCACATTTGGTTCAAGTCCGTACCATCGCAACCTCGATTGGAGTGTGGAGCACTCCATTACATTACATACACCCCGAGTTGGTGGAGGACTTGCGTCATTCGTGCCTGCTTCCTTCCTCAAATGGTTGTTTGCACAAAGCCAGGCGGAGTGAAGAAATTTCTCGGGGGTGTCTAAAGTTTTGCATTCAGCTGGAAGTCATGCCTGAAACGAGGGTTAACTTATTTTAGGTGCCCCCATAGCTCCTATGGCACGTGAGTTCCACTCATCAAACGGCAATCGTTGGTTCAGTTGTTCAGAAGGACTATGTAAGAAATATGATCTACATTATCTCGTTTTCCACTCAAATCAACGATAGGAAACATAAGCACATAGGTTAAAAAAAACACTGGCGCTGACATGCTTATCTTTTTTTATGCCCATCACCTCATGGCGTGTAGAGAGGCTTATTTTGCTTTGACAGAAGTCTCGATCCTTGACAGAACCTATGATCCGGATCGCCACACATTTGGTTTCCCGCGGTTCCAATCGCGGTCCTCCATGCTAAAATCCGAGGTCCCTCGATGACAGAGTTCTCCCCTGTTACTCAGAAATTCATCCGGTCTTAAAATTTTCATCGCATTTGGGCCAGATAAGTGAGATCTACTAACTCGCTTTATAATTGAATCCAGGATTGCGGTTGCTTTTGAGGCTTCTCTCTTACTCCAAATATCATATTTGCCGCGACGAGCAAGACCAATACCATGGTGCGATGAGATCTTGCAGAAATTCGAACCCTCTCTCTCCCTACCACTCCAGATGGGAATCTCTTGGTCCACCGGAATAAGGATCCGAATGCCGCCGACCACCCATTACCACTCCATCACCTCAACTGAGCAAGTCAAGCGCCTGATAATCAGTCCTGATTCTCAACATCCAGGACTTACGACTCAATTTGCTAATGTCGGTCGTTACACCTCTCAAATCTGTCAAACCTCGACCCAGTGAGGCGGAGAGGTAAGACACTTGTTCAGCTGTCAAGATTCGGGAAGTCTCATTTCTAACTCGATTCAGTGCATCGTTATCGATGGGAGCCAACGGAAATGACATTGAAGATAACCAACGCACCCCGATTTCTAGAATCTTAAAGAACAGGGATGTCCTTAGTGCGATCTTCGAGGCTTTTGGCTTGGAGCTAGGTATCAACGGTGAAATGAATGATGGTCGTCAGATCAGGAAAAACCTGAAGTCAGCCGCACTCACCTGTAGCGCATTCTTCGAACCAGCATCAGACTGCCTGTGGCGCATCATGGACTCGTTTATGCCTCTTTTAAACCTTATTCCTTCTTTTGAGGAAATCGATGGATTGTATGTAAGCCTTGTCCGCCGATTTTACCTAGTTTGATAATCCGTTATCCAGGCGATCAGGGGACAGGTACACTGGCGGCGCTTTGACTACTACTCTCAGAAAGTTAGATCGTTTGTTGTGAGGCTTGATCCTGGTTGGCCGAATATCGCGGGATACACATATGTTCAAATTTCAAACCTCCGACTGCGTCCATTTTTTCCTGCTTTGTGCAACGTCTACATTCTTTCCTTCAAGGGCGACACTTTGAATTTGTCTTCCCTCTTCTTCCTGCAGGTACCGACACTCCAGCAACTTTTCATCAGCAATGTCACGGATGCGACCTTCATTGAATCCTTCATCTCCTCCGCAGCGGGAACATCGACTCATTTACAGTATCTCCGTCTCGAGGGGTGTTGTACAAGCTCTTCATTGGCAGCGATCGTAAACATTCATAACCTGACATCGCTGAGACTCATTTTGCGAGACGTCTCCTTTGATCCTTACATCGTGAGGACCTTCTCGAATCTTTCACGTCTAGTGATACTTGTTATGGACTTCCAAGGGTGTCCACGTATTACCCTGGATAACTCTGATGCTAAAATTGTCAAAAGCAAAGGTCCCCCTTTCCAGAGCCTTCAAGTTTTTCAATGCAAGGGTTCTGCCCGTCCCCTCTCGATCATCTTACAATTCATGGTGAAAGCTCCTCTCCGCATTATAGACTTCAGCATCTGTAAAACTCCTCAGTGGGAAGCGGATATGACCGCTTGCATGGAGGCCGTGGCAGCTCTGAAATCTTTGAAAATCATCCGGATCGTGAATAGCCTAGGAGGTAATTTTGATACACCTTTGAGCGTACTTGTACCCCTTGTACATTTGAAGCTACAGGTCCTCAAAGTCACGGGCTTTCACTTAGAGGCCTCCTCTAGCGATCTCAACACATTGACGATTTGGCAGGGAGTCAACTCTGCTTGGAGGAACTTAACTTGTCTGCACCTTCCCGTTGATGGAAGTGAGGACCCTTACTATGGAAAGATAACACTCAGTCACTTGACATGGTTTGTGACAACCTGCCCCGTACTCAAGGAGTTGCAATTTTTTGTCAACCTACTCGAAGTTCCATCCCCTCCTGATCGTCCACCAAACCACTCCCTTGAACGCCTCATCATCGGTAGCCGCCTGGGGAAGTGGACGGTTGTAGATATGATCAGCATAGCTCGATTCATTGATAAGCTTTACCCTCGTCTTGAACAATTACGAGGTTATGCGGTGGAAGGCTTGCAACATGATCCAGATTCCAACTGGACACAAATTGAGAGTATTTTGCTCTCATACCAGGCTGTCAGGGGGGAGACTATAAAGGTGTGCAATGAAAGCATGAAGAGTACACGCCGTCTTTTCCCTTGCTTTTCAGCAATAAACACTCATTTTATATATATTTAGGAGAATTGCAATGTTTGAATAAACGAAAATAAGGAGATTCTGTGAGAGAATGTCATGCATATGATTAAGTAAAGTCATACAAAAATTAGTGAATTTCAGTCTCGAGTTCCTCCTCAAGATCGAATAAACCTTAACGGTACAAAATATTCAATAAAAGTTTGAATGGAATATGGCTGATAGATCTGTCACTTGAGTAGATGGGATTGATGGATTTGAGTGCAGGTCTTTCAAGTATTCGACTCGTAGACTGCGAATCTATTATGAGCCGAGGAATATAGATTCAAAAGGAGCTTCGTCCTCCGAGTCAGCCCATTGATTGCTACTGCTACTCAACGCAGTATCATCCCCGCATCACTGGTAATCGTAGGCGTAACACTCCCCTTCTCCTCACTCCATTCCCAAGCATTGCCGTAAACCAATAATAATAACGTCCGACTTGCGGCTCGAATGATGTCTCAGCCCATATCCGCGGAAGCAGGATGAGTGAGGGGAGAGATGGATTGGCATGGATTGTAGTAGGAGAGACTCTACGGGTACAATCTGCTGAGCTTGAGGGATTGATATCCATTCGTGGGGACATGGATGTCCACGGAGCATTTGAGATCGTCTTCCTGAAAGTATCCAGACCAAGTAAAACCCTCAACATCGCCACGCCTCTTTAATCGCGTTTCTCATGAATTGTGATGTCCATCTATCAATCCACGTCCTGCAAGTACACGTTGAAAGCTTCCTCATACAAGGAGAGGAGGATCATCGAAGACTGGCTGTCTCAAACACATTCTGCTGTAATGCAAGACATTGGAGGTGGTCTACTTGACAGCGTATGTGGGACATGGGAGTAGGAGTAGGAGAAAGAGGGGAAGGTGGGGAAGGGATGGCGCGGGGAAGAGGAGGAAGTTATGACAGCGGAAGAGCTGACGAGGGTGCGCCTAGGAATGGGTGGTGTTGGTTACTTTGGAAGGTGCTTCATGCACTTGGCTTTGCAGAACAAAGGGGTGACTGGCAAAGGAGCGAGTTCGAATGGCTTAAAGCAGGTGGAGGGCCGTAATTGACCGGGGACATCTATGAGAAGCCATTGCATTTCAAAATGAACAGCCTGATGGCCGCTCCGCAGGGGTTGAATATTGGACTGTGGAAGGTAAGAGGCTCGTCGTCTGATGTCCAGGGCGAAGACGGAGTTTTTGATGCCCCATAGACATGCGACTTCTTCTTGAAATCGGCCGAAGTCACGACAACAAAGGTAAGCAGCGCCACGGCAAGCAAAGGGGGTCTTATGTGAGGGGGTTGAAGAGGTTATGTTGTTGGCATCCGTCGTTGACATGAGGGAAGTAAGTGGAAGGGCTTATGTTCGCAAGCCTCGACTTGAGGTTAACGTTGTGAAAGCGTCGGATGAGGACTCGTAGTCTCCTCCCGAGGAAAGTTGGTTCAAAACATAGAGGGATTACGGTATGAGAGTCAGCTGTGTGTGTGCTGTAGAGTCGTTAGCTACCGCCATGATAGGAATGAAAGTAGCCTTACTTGAAAAGCCTCCACAATACAGGTGAAGGACCCTCAATAACCGCCACGACCTTTCTGTTCAGTGGCCAGTGAGCTCTCCTATAAGCATCGCCATGATCAACGCTAACGAAACATCAAGACCTTGACAACACAAGGGCGAGCAATGATGGAGTGGCTTTGAGTATGGCCGATGAGAGGTTCCAGGCTAAAAGAGTTGGCGATGAATGTTGGGAGGGGAGAGGATCAGACTAAGAGAACTCGCAAGGCTGGGGCCAATTTGCCCTCGCTATTTCCGGTTTCATAGCACAACTCTCCAGACTGAAAAGAAGGCGAAAGTGGGACACAAGGGTAGGTGTGTTTGGGGACAACAAGCATCTTGATCCTTCCTTACATGCACCTAACCCAAGACCTCTATACCCCATAAACATGCCACACATTATCCCTCTCCTCCACCATCCACGGTATAA